CAAAAGCAGCCAGTAGAGATGGCAGGGATATATCTCCAGGTTTAATATTTAACTGCCAGTTGCAAAATTTAGATATTCGAAATTCGACTTGTCGGCCGATCGGTCTCAGCTCGGGTGGTGAGTATTTAAAAGGTATTTCACTGATTCAAAGTTCACAACACATGTTGCTTTTACTATCTATTTAATATAGAAAGAAAGGGACGCTAATATATTCACATAGGTGCTTCAATAGTGGAAACTCACAAAAAAATCTAAAATTTCCTTAACGTCTAATGTCTTTAGGCGATCAAGCCTCCAAAAATTATTCAAGCCCTCAAATTGAACGACTCCTTTCCCCTCAATTATACAGAAATAAATGGGACTTTTATTGCCACGCAAAAAACTACATACGAAATCTAATATACAACAACCTAAGATATACAAGGAAAGCGGGAAAAGGTTGCAAGTTCAGTTAATGCAGGGATGGCGCGGTCCGCTCCTGCTCTGGTTTTCATCTCCCCTTCCTTATCCTACTATCAGCAAACCAGATTGTCAGTCGTCACTTCTTGTTCATATCAATTCAATCTATCCATCTCTTTCTAGCCTATCAGTGTGCTCCTCTAAACTCATGGTTTATAACAATTGAGAATAATTCACTTAGAAATATTTCTATCTAATGTTTTTGTATTTCAGATTATGGGAGCTATTTCGGAAAAGTTTTAATTCAACGCGATTTCCTCAGAGATGACGCATGGTTTGGCGCGACCATTGCAAATGTGCCTAGCGGGAAACTGGTGGTAATCTATACTATTATAATAAAGCGTAAACACACACTTCTTTCTTGCCTAGGATGTCAGCAATTACAACATATTTTTTAATAATTCTTTATTTAATAAAAAGCCCTACGCTTGCGTCACGCTTTAGGCTATATATCTTAACGCTATTAAACTTAGGGGGTAAATATTTTTGGGTAAAAACCCTAATGAGGTAAAGAGACCTTAAGTTGCTGCCAACATCAAGAAAGAAAGATTGCTAAGGTTTGTCATGTCATGTCATTTTGACATTTGCTATTGATAATTTGACAAATGTAAACAATAAAATAAAGTTTTTATAAATTCATGCGGATGAATCCGCGCGCGAACAGCTAGTTCTATACTATTAGTAACATTTTCTGTACGCAGTATTGCATACAGGAAATTGTATTGTATTGCAAATAAGAATGTCTTTATGTAACCCAAGCTGTTGCCTGGAAACTTCATTAGCGCTTTGGACCACCTGTTACGTCATTTTGACAGCGCGGAATTAAAAAAATTATTAGATATTAGAAACTCTAATTTTATTATATGTATAGATTAATTTAATATCCGCAGATCTAACACAATTTATGGCTATCTTAGTAAATAATATCCAATTAATCATATATTGCACTTGCACTAGGAAATACATGTATTTATGTCTATTTGCAGGCCTGTGCTCCGCGATGGTCAGTTCCATACAAAGACAAACACATACTAGCGAATGGCGCGTGTTATTTGCTAACACAAACAAGGGGTATTGCAATGCTACCTTTGAAGGAAATGAGTAAGCATACTTAGATTATTCATTTTAAATTTTCCCTTCCCACCTTTTAAAGAAGGTGTATGTGGAAAAAGATGTTTCTGTAACCAACATGTCTGTGGCCAGTTTTTCTGTTATGCCAATTGTTACATAATTGTAATAATTAACAGTCTTTGTGGGTAATTTTATCGTTTTGACTTTATCTTATAAAGTGGTAATACTAACTCTTATATTATTATCGACTCAGTTTTATTTAATACATGAGGAATCCAAAAAATGGCAATATTAGTTTTAAATCAACTTAAAAGTATTTTTTTTTACTTAAATAGATCGACAGGCTTACAAAACTGATGGAAACAGAAAGGAATTCGGAGACTACGGTACTCATTTAAACTTCTACGCCTACGGACAAACAGGAATGTCAATTAAAGTTACGGAGAGCAATTCGGTAATCATCGGAGCTCCAGGCTTACTGCAATGGGCAGGTATACACTCTATACTAATTCTGTGGTTAAGCAATTATTGATAATAGATGGCGCTGATAACAACTGTGAATATATTTTTATTCATTTTAAGGTAAAAGCATATTTACATTAAATAGTAACAAGTTTTAAAAATAAGTTAATCATAAAATTGTAATTGTTTAAGTTACAAAAATATTGTGGATGAATATTTAAAATCGTATTGGCCGCCAAGAATGCAATAGGCATTATCGGAGTTTAAAAAAAAAGACGATTTAGGCGCGAATGAGAGTGCAAAATGTAACAGAGTGTTTAATACAATTTTACCAATAATTGAAAATAGAGAGTGTGTGTGTTTATCAGCAAATAAAGAATATTTTAAGAATGACACTAGTTTACATTTATACATTCTGTATACTATTTTATTGATCTTTTTAACAGATTTAATACTTTGAAGTAGTATTTTTCTAACGTTAGATTGTGGCCCTGCTGCAATAATATGATTAATAGTATAATCAATTCTTTGCTATTATTTTTTTGCAGGTGGCATAGTTGATTATAAATACGATTCAGACAAAGATTCTATGTTTATTTCAAAACAACCAACAACAAATCCTTACTTTACCAAAGAAATAGGACCTGATGATTATTTTGGTATGTTTAAATTTCATGTTTAGTTTCGTGCGTTTAGTTTTTAATATCTGTTTTATTAAACTGTATTTATTTACAGGTTATAGTGTGGAATCAGGAGTTTTTGGTCCTGACAAGAAAACTTTGTACGTAGGTGGCGCACCTCGATCAAAATTTGGCTATGGAGAGGTAAAAAACTTTCTTCAATCAATCATTCATCAGAAGAAATGAATATTTATGTACGTTATTTTTCCGTCAGGTTTTTATATTTGAACCAGCATACAGAGAATATGCACCATTAAAGGTGATTAAGAGTCTCAGAGGGAGACAATTGGGCTCCTATTTTGGCGCTAGTCTTTGCTGTATGGACATCAATGCAGATGGGAAATTAGATCTTCTAGTGGGAGCACCAAACTTTGTTAGCAAAGAAGGGGAACTGCGGTACGATCAAGGAGCCGTTTTTGTTTATTTAAACAGCTGGCAGGTAATAATAATATAAAATTTCAGATAAGTTCTTAATTTCAAATCTTAGAAGTGTCTGTAATATCAAAAGAACATACCAGATTATAGGAAGATGATGTATTTACGTTGATAAAAAATATATCATTAAAAAATTTTTTGTCTGTCTGTCTGTCCGCATACCGCGTTTGTTCCAGACAAACTCCGAAGCGGCTGGGCCGATTTCGACCGGACTTTCTGACATAGACGGGCATATTATAGGCTACTTTTTATCTTAATATTGCGTGGACAAGGTC